ACCTGTGTACAATACCTGCGTCAACTCGAAGAGTTGAACCTGCGACCTGTAGAACCGCCAGTGGTAGGTAGGTCTGTCGTAGGTCTATAGGTAGCCAGGATTCGATCTGTAGACCTATAGATTAGAAGGCTAGCTGCAGTCCTTCTAGAAGGTTGGCAAGTGGTCAAGTGGTGCAGGCAAGTGGTCAAGTGGTGCAGGCAAGTGGTCAAGTGGTGCAGACAAGTGGTCAAGTGGTGCAGGCAAGTGGGCAAGTGGTGTGACTAAAGCAAGCCCATGTTGGAGATGAGGACAGGTGGCAAGGTCAAATGGTAAGACCCCGGTGCAATTGCACTGGGTCGTAGGGTCGTCGTCATACAGTCAAGGGAGAGTCTAAAAAGTACCAGTCCGGTCCAGCAAGTACCACGGGGGGAACTGTGTGCACCATGGGCCAGGGACACAGGGCAGACCAATGCAGCACATAAGTATAAATCAAGAGGCTGCGTCCATTCAAGGATTCATTCCTGCGGATGCCAGGCGGAAGCGCTGCCTTAGCAGCTTGTGCGAGGCGGTCTGCAGTGCGCCCGAAGACGAAGTGGGCAGAGAAGTGTAGTGTAGCGATAGGGTAGAGGCAGCTAGCGCTGCCATAGCTGTAGCATAGTATGTGTGTGTGTTGTGTATGATACTGAGTGTTGCGTGTGGGACATCCAGGGTGATCCAAAGTGCGAACAGTGAGTTGTGTGGGCGCATGTCGCCAGTTGCTGTACCGCTGTTTGCAGACATGACGAAGTGACAAGAAGACGAGTTTGATTTCACTTTTTGGTCAAAAAATAAAATTTTAATATAATTTTTCTATAATTTTTATATAAAGCGATTGACGTCGATCGAATCAATCGATCTGCTCCGTTCCCCTCATACCATTGCACGTTCTCGAGTTGAGCAATCAATCAATCAATCAATCAATCAAATCGATCAATCAATCAATCAATCAATCAATCAATCAATCCATCAAACCATCAAACCATCAATCCAATCCAACCCAATCAATCAATCAATCGATCGATCAATCAATCAATCAATCAATCAATCAATCAATCAACCAATCAACCAACCAACCAATCAATCAATCGGTGCATGGAGATCGATTAGTTGGGTTAATTAGACAACGGATTGATCATCGGATTGATCGGAAAATGAATGCAACCAATGGAATCCAATCAGTCTAACAATCAACGCTAGAGATAGGTGGAAGACAACCGAGAGGGTGATAGCAAACCATGTGGCAGCTTGCATGGAGGGGAGAAGAAGAGAAAGGGAGAAGCAGTGGGTCATCACCTGACAGGTTAGCTATTGTTGATTGTAGAGCTGCGATTGCTCTTTTTTTTTTGTCCCCCTCTCTGAGTTGTCTGGCACTCTTTTGAAAGCATGTCAACCTTCCATCCTCAGTTATCGCCTTCTGCTGAATACAACGCATAGGCATCATTGATTGATATCCGGACAAAAAAGAAAAGAGAAACTCGTATTGATATCCAACCTAATCAATCATCACAAACTAGTCAATTATCAAAATACTTGTTAATCATCGGACACTCATCAGAGGTCATCATCACACGTAAACGTCATCTGTGTGATTGGAAACTTGAGGCGCTTCTAGATAACACCAACAGAAAAGAGGAAATGTTATGAGGTTCATGACAAAAAATGGAACAGAAGATATTAGCTGATAAAGGATGGTGTTGTTAAATGCAAATTCATGGATCTTCCCTAAGCCATTCACTCTCTGCATCACCTAACTGGAATTGGAAATCGTTATATCTCTGCATCGTCGAACTCTAATTGAAAGTTATCATATCTCCGCGTCACCTAACTCTTATTGAAAAGTTATCACATTTCTTTCGGGGAAAAAAAAAAAAAAAATCAACAACGACCGTCACATTCCCGAAAACTAAAACAAACAATTGGAACCGCCAAACATTACACCTCCCAACCCCGCACCCAACCCACCCGCTGGGAGGATTAAGAACATCCGAGTCCGAAAGAACGACTAGACATACGGTAAGCAATCCCGCCAGCCCCCCTTCCGACAACACTCTTCTCCTCTCCGTTCCACACAAATCTTCCCTTATCAAATTAGCGCTTAAATTTCCTAGAATTAAATAATAGTCCATTACATTCTAAAATTTAAATTTTCATTCCATCTTAAAAAATGTCATTCCAAGCGGGCTAGCTCAGTTGGTTTGAGCACGAAAGTGGTTTGCAGGAGGTCGTGGGTTCGATTCCCCACGTCGTCCATTCTATCCCCACGACCTCCTGTGATGCGCTTCGGGTTCTCCAGCGGAGATAATTGGCTTGGGCCTCTGGCTGGCTGGGAAGCAACCATTTGCGCCTTCCAGCTTACGCCTGGTGTTAGAAGCTCGGGTGCTGCTCCCCGCAGAGAGCAGATGTGGCTTCTTAACTTAGGAGAGATTTCCTACCTTGGGCACAAAAAACTCTGTAGTGGATTGCTAAGCTGCGTGTAGGTAGGTAGGTAGTGGGAGATATATCGAGAGAAGAATATAGGTTAGTTAACAAAAAGGATAAAAAATATCATTCCACTTCAAATATTTTCCGTCTTAAAGACTTTTCTTCCCAGAAATTCAATGGGTATCCAGTGTATCCCCTCTTGTTTGAACTGCATGCTACAAATGGGAAAAGAGGATAAAAAATATCATTCCACTTCAAAAAATTTCCGTCTTAAAGACTTTGGTTCCAAGAAATTCAGTCGGTATCCAGTGTATCCCCTCTTGTTTGAACTGCATGCTATAAATGGGATGGAAGTCTGGATGAGTTCATGAAATGTTTTAATTGGATTATCATTCTATTCTAAGGAGTTATAAATAGGTTGATCCAATCTTAATTAGAAGATTTTTTTTGGTAGTAGAATGGAAGTTTATTTAAGACATTTCATAAACTTGTAATGAATTTCATGCCTTCTTCAACAAATAGATGTAGTTGGAAGATAAAACTCATTTTTTGATGGAAACTTGTCAAATAAAGCTGAAAAATTTAGAAGTGGAAGAACTTTGGAATGATAATTTTTTAAATATGAAGGATTTTCTTTAAAATGGAATGTTTTTTCATCTTTAATTTCTTGTGGGAACTTTTCTGTTGAACTTGTCACAGGCAGTTAGTTGGGAGGCATGAATCTGTTCAGCTCAAATGGAATCGGGAGCTGGGGTGGTCGCAGTGGGACACATGGATGCTTGTCAACGAGTTCCGGGTCAGCAGGGATGTCTCTCGCTGACGTGGTCGTGTCAGAGGCAGCGGTACCAAATTCTGCAGAAGGGCTGACAACGACAAGAGCCAGTGTGGGGGGAGGGTTACCCAGGACGCTTGCCGTAGCGGCCACTAGGCTTGCCACGTGGACAGCTAGAGACTCTCCCTCCAGCCTCAGGCATCATCCTGACCATTTTTATGATGGTGGGACTGCTAGAAACGTCAGTGGTAATTTTCCTCCCTTCGATAGCTCAACCCCTCTGTCAGAGGGTAACTACAAATCGACTTGGCCGAGTCGTCGGAGGGGATGGCAGTCGGTTTCAGCGAATGACTCTGTGAAGGGAAGCTCGGGGGATCGTTCCGACGCATCGGAAGGAGTAGCTGAGAGAGAGAGGAGGGAGAGGAGGAGGATGCACATGAGTTTCGAGGTAGGCGTGGGAGAGGAGGGCAACAACGTACGACTCAGTGCAGAGCGGTATCCCGTTGAGGGGACGGGATCTGCTGCTGAGTCTGATGTGGAAGTGTCTAGACAGCACGAGAGAAGAGCGCACAGCAGTGCACTAGGAGTAGGAGGAGAGGAAGGTATCGGGAACGGGGAGGGGATTTCTCAACCCTCCTCAGCTCAGCAATATCATGTCATTGAAGGAAATCGATCAGCAGAAGCTGACGTGGCAGTTTCTCAACCGTCAGAGGAAAGAGTGGACAACTGCGTGGAAACGGAGAGGAAGGGTGAAGAACTGGATGGGAAGGAAGGTAGTAGTTATAAACTCGCGTCTCATGAGGTTCGACCTTTTGTCGTTGATGAGGTTTTTCGCGAAGTAGCTGATGTGGCCGTTTCTCAGCCGCATCAACAGGTCGAAGCTCTGAAGCAGCCGCCTATCGACGTGGCCGGCTGGACGTTGCACTCTGATGACCTGCAGAGACGGACAGCGGAGGCTCCAAACACGATGGGTTTGCAAGACGATTCGAACCCTCGTCTGTTTACTCGGGTCGGCTGTCTTGTCAAATCGACGAAGGATGGCAATAGCCATTGCAAGGGCCAAGAACCTGGTCAGGATGCAGCGGAGGTGCAGAGGGGGTGCTCCTGTCCTGCTAATCCCTTAAGGATTGACCTGATTGGTGGGAAAGTATTACCCACACAGTTCAGGGATCATCCGGACGGCCTTTCGGCCCGTTCACACGTGGCTTCCACTGGCTGGCGCTCGGCCGCACAGGCCGGCCCTCGGAGAAGGTTCTTCGTTCAACACCGGGTAGACGGGACCACAAGTTCTCACGACAGCCCCAGTCAAGCTATGCTTCAAGGATTAACTCTCCCACAAAAGTCGTTCACCCCCCCACCAATTCTTCGGAATGAGGCCATCAGAAGGGCGGCACGGAAATATGGTCCCGCGTTGGAGGGCAAGATGCCAGTGGTACGTTACTATGCGATGAAACCTTCATTTTCTTGATGTATTTCACAGGGCGTGATGGCATATGTGTGCGTGTGTGCCTGTGTGTGTCTGTTCTCATGGCCCCTACGCACAAATCCACAGAAAAGGCATGATTGTGTGAATGCATGCATGTCTCCGTGCCTCTGTGTGTGTGGCTGGGAAGGGAGGGGGGGGGGGGGGGGGGTTGTCATACACAACTGCAAAAAACAAACAACAATGACTGTGCCAGACTGTTTCGTGAGACTTTGTAGAGTGTTTTTTAAACTTTTTTTGAGAGGGGTGACATACAGACTCTTGACTCTAGTTGGTGTGTGCATGTTGGTTTTCTCTTGTCCGGCCTCCTTTAACCATTTGCAAGTGTGCCGTCCGGTGCAGACACCGGTGTGTGGTCACAGTGCCGGCACTGCCCTGTATCGCCTTCTGCCATCTCTATTGACCTTTTGTGTTAAACTTTCTCTTTTGACTTTGTTGTCTTACAATTCGAATTGAATTTCTGGCAGCAAGAGCCTATGCTGAGGAGTTCCGGGCAGTCGGAGGACTTGAAGAGACGCCCGCTTTTTGTGGAAAGAGTATTCAAACACATGACAGATGTGTCGACCACTCCACGAACCATGGACTCAGCTGAAAAGGTTGGAACAACTTACAGCCTGAGGATGGGAAAATCCGGTAGATCGAGCGGGCTTCAAGCATCAAGAAGGATGATCTCCTCTGACGAGTTTCGAAAACAGGTGGACAAGATAATGTCTGACTTGCCTGGTTTTGAGGGTGTTCTGAGAGAGCGAGGAGGAGGACCTGCTAGTGTGGTCAGAGCAGAGCGCTGGTGGAGCAATTCAAGCAGTCGGCATTGGAGTGGTGACGACTCTGAAGAAACTGTGAGCGTTAAGTCTGAGTGGAAAGGTTATCATGCTGGCCAGAGCGACGATCCGTCGGCAACTGAAACAAGTACCCCTGCTAGAAGGGACTGGGTGAAGATGCGAGAACTAATGGGCCGTGTTGTGGATTTGGAGTGCAGGATGCGAGGCCGGGAGGGTGAACCACGTTGGCAGAGGGATACCAACGCAATGGTGGTGGTCGGGGGGGACACAGAGGTTCTGCGGGGTGATGGGAACACAGGGGCAGGTGCGAAAGGCAAGAACTTCAAGGAGAAAGGTGGTCTTAGCGAGGAGAAAAGAGGGGACTACGAGCCAGGTTGTGGACAGGGTGTGAGGGTAGGGCCCCAGTGGTATGACTACTTGAACAAGCAACAGATGCTGGGAGAGTTGGTTTACAGAGTGACAAATTTGGAGGATAAGCTTGCAAGAAGGAAAGGGAGTGGTGGGGCCAAGTGGGGGGAGGAGTCTGATGCTGACAAACTTGAGGATCCTGAGAGGGGGTGCAGTGGTACTGCTGCTAAGGCCAACAGCAATGTTTCGCTGAAATGGATGAAAGAGCGACTGAGGATTCTGGAGAGCAGAGTCAACAAAGTTTTGGAGGGTGAAGAAAGACAGGGACGATGTAATGAGCCGGTGTCTGGCAAGGCACAAGGTTTGGGTGATGGTCATGTGGGCAAGAAGGAGGACCAGAAAGCGATGTCTGCTGAAGCCAAAGAAAGTCGCGCTGATGAGGACCTCGAAGCCAGCGCCGACATTGTCATGAAAACACCACCAGAGCAGACGTCAAGAAATCGGAACCGGGACACCCCCCATGCCGGTAAGAGGGAACAAGACGGACCACAGGTTGGCAAAGGAGGAGGAGGAGGAGTTGGAGAAGGAGAAGTCTTGAAGAGTAATGCCGGCTTAGATCCTGAACCTGAAGAGACTTTGGGTGTAGGTGGAGGAGGTGAGTTAAGCCGCAGAGAAAATAGAGGTGATCATGGAATGCTCATCGAAGAGTCGGTGAAGAGAGCAGTTGGAAAAGAAATGAGAGAATTCCAGGAACGAATTTCCGAGGATCTTCGCCGCCTGCTTCTTCGCCAGAGAGCAATGGCCCATCAACTCTCAGAAAAGGATTCAGGTGGTGACTCATTTGTCCCTAGTAGCGCATGCCTTCCCGGGGCTCCCCTGCAAACCAATACGACCATCACCATCACGATTGCCACGGTGAACCCCACCCCCAACCCCCACCCCCACCCCCACCCCCTCAACCTCACCACCACCACCCCCACGCCCAACCCCATCCCCAACCCCAACCTCACCACCGCCATGCTCACAAGAGTCACAACTGCTAATTCTGTATGTTGTTCACAAGTCTCTAAAGACAGAGCAGTGGCAAAGGAATGCATGAAAGGCAATAATGAGACTGAGCCTTGAGGGGATATTCGTGGCTGCGTCTTGGCTGGAGCTGAACAGCAACTTTGATTAAGAGACTGGCGTGGAAACCCTGCTTCCGCTTAAGCATTCTCCTTGAAATGACTGCCGTTATCACGTCCATCATCACCCCCAGGAGCACCGTCACCATGGTCACCACTGTCGTCAATGTCACCCACCATCACTAGCAAATCACCATGATAACTACCACTGCTACTTGTGCACGATTTTTGGGTAGAAGTTCTGTGACGATTTCCCATTCTCTCTCTGTTTCTTCCACCACTGCTGTAAACATGCCATGGGGGTAGTGACACCCTTGTCAGAATGGTCACATAAGTGTCATAATTCCAAGCTATGGGCTTCTGGCTGAGTGTCTTTTCAACCGGGAAGGGGGGGAGGGTCCAGTTTAATGGCCGTCGAGACCCGTCAAATCCCCTAGACCCCCGTCGGATTCCCATTAAATGCGAAAATGGGGGTCTCCCGCCGTTTTCGGTTTAATGTGAGGGGTGCGTGGGGGTTTGGATACGTGGTGCACGACCCCTGCGCAATTGAACTGGGGAAAAAAAAAAAATCCTCCCCTCCGCCCCCAACCACCCAGCAGTCCCCCACTGACCCCAACCCACGATGCAATGCTGCTCCTGCAGCGTGTCGCCCAAGAAGTGAGCTACTCGAACTGTGCGTCTTCCAGGGCCTGGCCCAGCTATAAGTAGTGCTGGGGCTTGCCGGTCGGCCTCTGTGTGCCTCTGGTTCTAGGCCAAAAACGTGGCCTATTGGGTCTGGGTCCCAGCCGGATGTCCAGACCCTCCCTGCTGCATCAGCAGGGACGTCCACTACTGGACGAGTAGGATCCTGGCAAACGGGCCTGCCTGCGTGCGAACAAGGCTTAAGGTGTGGCCTTTGTCCGCACAGACCGAAGGTCTGTTCGGATGAACTGCAAGTCCGAAACGATGCCTGAACAGACAAAGTAGGACATGTTACGATCCTGGCCAATTTTGAAGTACACATTCCTCAGAAAGTGCAATGCCGTCCAATTGCAAAAAGAAATGAATGAGCTTGAGAGGAGAGAGAGGGAAAGAAGAAGAAGAAGAAGAAAGGAAGAAGAAGATGATGTACACCAGCATAGACCAATGATAATGCTCTTCTCCTTCGCCAACCACTCTCCTCCTCCTTATCTCCTCCCTCTCTTATTCAAACAAGAAATAACAATAATAATATTGAATGGTTGAACCAGAATCAATGTCCGAATCCCTCTTCTACTGCAGGCAGAACATGAGGTCCAACATAGCGATGACCATCCTCCTCTTCCTCTTCATGTAGGCTGAAGCTATGGCGGACTACTGAGGGCTCTGCCCTCCTGTCCAAAGGACAACCCAAAGCGGCCCTAGGGCCAGCCGTGGGCCTCCAGGGAAGCATGTCCCAAGGGCGTGTGGCCTGGGGGCCCCCAAAAATAGGGCCCGTGTGCAGGCTCAGCATGTAACAACGTGTGTGTGTGTGTGTGTGTGTGTGTGTGTGTGTGTGTGTGTGTGTGTGTGTGTGTGTGTGTGCGCACGCACGCAGGTGACAGTGTGTGTGTGTGTGTGCAGGGATGTGGGCCAAGACACCCTGCATCGAAATACAATGTAAAAAAAAAAGAAGAAACCACCCATTTCTTTTTTTTTTTTTTTTTTTTTTTTTTTTTTTTTTTTTTTTTTTTTT